TCTGGGGAGGCCCTGCTCGTGATCCCACCCACGTCGCAAGCGCGCTTGGTGGGGACACGGGACAGGGCCTTCTCTGTGGCGGCCCCCCGACTCTGGAATGCCCTTCCAAAAGATCTTCGACAGGCCCCTACTTTAGCAGCTTTCAGAAAGAACCTAAAAACTTGGCTGTTCCGATGTGCCTTCTCAGATTAGGAATCCCCCATCCCAAGTCCTAGAAGCACTTTAGTACAATCAATATTACTGCACACCGCACTATTTTAATCCTACGTTCCTCCTGCCATTTCAGCACTTTTAACCCTGTACCCCATTGCGCCGGCCGGCCCAGTTTTAAAGTGTCTTGATGCATTGTCACTGTTGCTGTTATTTTGCTTAATTATTTTGATTTGCTTTGTTTATTGTTGTGTTATGTTTCTATTGTATTGTGTTCTGAGGCTTCGGCCTGTGTAAGCCGCATCGAGTCCTTCGGGAGATGCTAGCGGGGTACAAATAAAGTTAATAATAATAATAATAATAATAATAATAATAATAATAATAATTAAAGCAGATAACAAACACTTGTGGCAATATATACATTTCTCTTCTATGTTAATGCTTCATATAGAATTGGAAGGAATGGGAAGGACTGCCTCATCCAATCTCCAATACACAATTAACGCTCCATCTACACTGTCATATAATCCATATTATTAAAGAAGACAATCCACATTATCTGCTTTGAATTGGATTATATGAGGCTGGATTTACACTACCATATAATCCATATTATCAAATCAAATTAACAACATTATCTGCTTTGATCTGGATTATATGAGGCTGGATTTACACTACCATATAATCCATATTATCAAATCAGATTATCCACATTATCTGCTGTGATCTGGATTATATGAGGCTGGATTTACACTACCATATAATCCATTTTATCAAATCAAATTATCAACATTATCTGCTCTTAATGAGACATGCCGCATTATCACGGGGTGTCTGCGCCCTACACCACTGGAGAAATTACACTGCTTAGCCAGTATTGCACCACCTGACATCCACCGGGAAGTAGCAGCCAATAGTGAAAGGACCAAGGCAGTGACATCTCCAGCTTATCCCCTATTTGGGTATCAGCCAGCACGTCAACACCTTAAATCAAGAAATAGTTTTTAAAGATCTACAGAGGCACTCGCTGGAACACCCCAGCAAGCAGAGTCCAAAAGTGGCAGGCTCAAACCCAGAACTTCAACCAATGGCTGATACCAAATGAGAGACTCCCCCCTGGGCACACAGAGGACTGGGTGACTTGGAAGGCGCTGAACAGACTGCGCTCTGGCACCACGAGATGCAGAGCCAACCTTAAGAAATGGGGCTACAAAGTGGAATCCACGACATGCGAGTGTGGAGAAGAGCAAACCACTGACCACCTGCTGCAATGCAACCTGAGCCCTGCCACATGCACAATGGAGGACCTTCTTGCAGCAACACCAGAAGCACTCCAAGTGGCCAGATACTGGTCAAAGGACATTTAACCAACTACCAAACTCACAAATTTTGTATTTTGTCTGTTTGTTTGGTTTGTTCTGTTAGAAATGTAATATAATAATTGACTGGTTTCCCTGACACGACAAATAAATAATCTGCTTTGAACTGGATTATATGAGGCTGGATTTACACTACCATATAATCCATATTATCAAATCAGATTATCTGCTTTGAACTGGATTATATGAGTCTACATTGCCATATCAACCAGTTCAAAACAGATTATCTGGATTTTGCATGGCATTAAAGAAGGGGCCTTACTTTCTAAAAAATCCAACATCATCAGACCACTGTCTCTCTGAAGAGAAGAGCTTTGCACATCTATCTCAACAGCAACATTTCCTCGAAAACTCTCAATAGGGCCCCATCTACACTGCTATATAACATTTAGATTGTTTACTTTGAACTGGATTATATGACAGTGTAGACTAACGTAATCCAGTTCAACACAGATAATCTGAATTGTCTATGGCTGTGTAGATGGGGGCTAGATCTCCTGTAAAAGAGGCCCTGGATACTGGAAACAGAGATGCCCTGCTCTTCTAGTGTTTTCTGTTGGTTCATGGGAGTTCTGTCTGCCAAGTTTTGTTCAGTTCCATGTTGGTAGAGTTCAGAATGCTCTTTGATGGTAGTTTAACTATAAATCCCAGCAACTACAACTTCCAAATGACAAACTCAATTTTTGAGTGATGGTCACTCCTTGGGTTAGTAGGTGTCTTGTGGCCAAATTTGGCAGCAATTCGTCCAACGGTTTTTGAGTTATGTTAATCCCACAAACTAGATTACATTTTTATTTATATAGAAGATGCAAGGAAAAACTTCTGTTGAGTGTGTTGCTATACACCTTTTCCCAGCATCCTTCCACTTCCAAATCCTATAGAAAGAAGCCTCCAAGAGACTATTAAGACTATAATAGCATTTCCCCCCCCCAAAAAAAATCCGATCCAAGGAGAGAAGGAAGGAAAGAAAGGAAAGTAGAGAAGGAAGGAAAGGAAGGAAGGAAGGAGGAAGGAAGGAAGGAAGGAAGGAAGGAAGGAAGAAGGAGAGAAGAAGGGAGAGAAGGAGGGAAAGAAGAAGGGAAGGAGAGAAAGAAGGAAAGAAAGAAGGGTAAAGAAGGAAGGAAGGAAGAGGAGAGAAGGGAGAGAAGAGGGAAGAAGGAGGGAAGGAAGGAGGGAAGGAGAGAAGGAAGGAAGGAAGAAAGAGAAAAGGAAGAAAAGAGAAGGAGGGAAAGAAGAGGAAAGAAGAGGGAAGAAGGAGGGAAGGAAGAAGGAAGGAAGAAAAGAAGAAAAGAAGGAAGGAAGGAAGGAAGGAAGGAAGGAAGGAAAGAAGGAGAGAAAAGGAAGGGAAAGAGGAGGGAAGGAGAGAAGGAAGGAGAAAGAAAGTAGAAAGAAGGAAAGGAGGGAAGGGAAAGAAGGGGGAAAGAAGGAGGGAAGGAGAGAAGGAGGGAGGAAGGAGGGAGAGAAAAGGAAAAAAGAAGGGAAGGAGAGAAAGAAGGAAGAAAGAAAGAAGAAGGAAGGAAGGAAGGAGGAAGGAAGGAAGGAAGGAAGGAAGGAAGGAAGGAGAGAAGAGGGAAAAGAGGAGGGAGGAGAGAGGAAGAGGAAGAGGGAGAAATTAGGGGAAGAGCAGGAAGGAGGCCCCTTTCCCTCTCATATTCCCAAACAGGAGGAATTACAGCCCGCCACATTAGCATGCATGGTTCAGGAAGAAGAGAGAAGGCGGGAAGAAGGAGGGAATAGCGAAGTGACTTAAAGAAAGAAAAGTATAAAAGGACGGAAGGGACGTGAGAGAAGGAGGTACATTAGGTAGTGAACGGAGAGAAAAGGAAAGGAAAGAAGAAAAAGGAAGAAGGAGAGAAGGAGGAAGAAGAGGAGAAAGGGAAAGAAGGAGGGAAGGATAGAAGGAAGGAAAAGAAGAAAAGTAAGAAGGAAGGAAGGAAGGAAGGAAGGAGAGAAGAAGGAGGGAAAAGAGGAGGGAAGGAGAGAAGGAAGGAAAGAAAGAAAAGTAGAAAATGAAGGAAGGAGGGAAAGAAGGAGGGAAAGAAGGAGGGAAAGAAGGAGGGAAGGAGAGAAGGAAGGAAAGAAAGAAAAGTAGAAAATGAAGTAAGGAAAGAAGGAGAGAAGGCGGGAAAGAAGGAGGGAAGGAAAGAAGGAAGGAAAGAAAGAAAAGTAGAAAAGGAAGGAAGGAAGGAGAGAAGGAGGGAAAGAAGGAGGGAAGGAGAGAAGGAAGGAAGAAGAAGGGAAAGAAAGAAGGAAGGAAGGAGAGAAGGAGGGAAGAAGAGGGAAGGAGAGAAGGAAAGAAAGAAAAGTAGAAAAGGAAGGAAGGAAGGAGAAGGAGGGAAGGAAGAAGGAAGGAAGAAAGAAAAGAGAAAAAAGGAAAGGAAGAGAAAGAAGGGAAAGAAGGATGGAAGGAAGAGAAAGAAAGAAAAGAAGAAAGGATAAAGGAAGGAAGGAGGAAGGAAGAAGAAGGAAGAAGGAAGAAAGAGAAGAGGAAGGAAGGGAGGGAGGGAAGGAGGAAAGAAAGAGAAAGAAAGGAAAGAAAGAAAAGTAGAAAAGAAGGAAGGAAGGAGAGAAGGGAGAGAAGGAGGGAAGAAGGAGGGAAGGAAAGAAAGAAAAGAAGGAAGGAAGGAAGGAGGGAAAGAAGAGGAGGAAGAAGGAAGGAAGAAAAGAAGAGAAGGAAGAGGGAGGGAGGAAGGAAAGGAAGAAAGGAAGAAAGAAAGTAGAAAAGGAGGAGGAAGGAGAAAGGAGGAGAGAAGGAAGAAGGAGGGAAGGGAAAGAAAAGAGAAGGAAGGAAGGAAGAAGGGAAAGGAAGGAAGGAATGAAAGGAAGGAAGGAAGGAAGAAGGAAGGAAGGAAGGAGAGGAAGGAAGGGAGAGGAAGAGGAAGGAGAAGGAAGGAGAGGAGAGGAAGGAAGAGGAGAAAGGAGAGGAGAGAAAGAGGAGAGGAAGGAAGGAGAGAAGGAAGGGTAGAGAAGGAAGGAAGGAAGGAGAGAAGGAGAGGAGAGGAGGGAAAGAAGGAGGGAAGGAGAGAAGGAGGAAAGAAAGAAAAGTAGAGAAGAAAGGAAGGAAGGAGAGAAGGAAAAAAAGAGTGAAAGAAGGAAGGAAAAGAGGGAAGAAGGAAGGAGAGAAGGACAAGAGAGAAAGAGGGAGGGAGGAGGAAGGAAAGAGACAAGAAAGGATGGAACCGAAGAGCAAGGAGGGAGGAAAGAAACAGGTAGAGAAGGAAGAAAGAAGGGTGAGTAGAAGGGAAAGAAAAAGAGGGGAGGAATGAAAGAGGAAGGGAAGGAAGGAGAGAAAGAAAGAAGGATAGAAAGAGGGAGGGGAGGTTGGCCACAGCAACGCATGTGCTGAATATAAACCTAGTTATTGTTGCGGGAATGCAGTGTAATTCCCCGTTCGGTGCTTGCAAGATGCCCTGCTGGATCCGGCATCATTTGAAACCGGGATAAGATCGCGAGTCAGCTTCGTAAGTATACCTTCTCCCCGTTGTTGGCCGCCGACCCCCCACCTCTCCCGGACCCCGAAAGGAACTTTTCTCCCCAACTTTTCTCTCCGTGAGAAAAAGGCTGCAGTTCTCCTTCTGTCCAGTAGGCGGCGGAAACGCTCCAAGCCTTCAAACTCTCGGCGGTCGAGCAGGTTTGAAATCACTGAGGACGGAGCGGCTTTGATTAGAACCTTATCAATTAACGTTCTTAATTAATATGGTGATCATTATTATCATCCATAGGCAACCAGAAGGTGAATCTGAATTACCGACCACGATTTTTTAATTGATTTATTTCAATGGCAATAAATGCAAATATTCAAACTTGTTGGGTTGTTGTGAGTTTTCATGTCCCAGCAGCATTCTCTCCTGACGTTTCGCCCACATCTATGGCAGGCATCCTCAGAGGTTGTGAGGTCTGTTGGAAACTAGGGAGGGAGAAAGAATTCTGATCTGTTTGAGGCAATTGTGAGTGTTTCAGCTTGATTGGCATTGAATGGCCTTGCAGCTTCAAAGCCTGGCTGCTTCCTGTCTGGGGGGATCCTTTGTTGGGAGGTATTCGCTGGGCCTGATTGATTCTTCTATGGAAATTCCCTGCTTTTTTTTTTAGTGTTGTTCTTTGTTTACTGCCCTGATTTTAGAGTTTTTAAATACTGATAACCAGATTTTGTTTATTTTCATGGTTTCCTCCTTTCTTTCGAAATGGTCCACATGCTTGTGGATTTCAATGGTTTCTCTGTTTTTAAACAGTCCTGAGTCTCCAAGGGAGATAGGGCGGGCTATAAATAAAGTATATTATTATTATTATTATTATTATTATTATTATTATTATATTACTGACACAAAAACTCAGATATCTCAAAATCACAAGTCGAACACTTCCCACTTATTATTATTATTATTATTATTATTATTATTATTATTATTATTTTAAAAAACAATATTTACGACTCTTAGGGCACCTTCTACACTGTCATATAATCCAGATGATCAAATCAGATTATCCCCATGCTTTGAACTGGATTATCTGAGTCTACATTGCCATATAATCCGGTTCAAAGCAGATCATCTGGAGCCCTTCCACACAGCCCTATATCCCAGAATGTCAAGGCAGAAAATCCCACAATATCTGCTTTGAACTGGGATATTTGACTCCACACTCAGATAATGTGGGATTTTCTGCTTTGATATTCTGAGATATAGGGCTGTGTGGAAGAGCCCATCGTCTAACGTTGAAACTACTACACCAAGACGAGGCTGGATCTACATTTCCTTATAACCCATATTATCCAAAGAAATCATATATATTGTCTTAAAGTGCAGCTGGGATTCCATATATTGTATTAAAAGTCCAACTTAATATGTTGTATTGGTGAGCAACTGGAATTATATTGCTTTGAAGAGCAACTGGGATTATGCATATTGTATTAAAGTATAACTGGGATTATAGAGATTGCTTTGAACCGGATTATATGAGTTTACACTGCCATATAATCCGATTCAAAGCAGATTATCTGGAATTTGTATGGCAGTGTAGGCTCATATAACCCAGTTCCATGCAGATGATGTGGGTGATCTGCTTTGATCATCTGGATTGTGTAGATCCGACTTTAGTAAATTATCCCCGACAATATATATATTTGGAGAGGGTCATATATATATATATATATATATATATATATATATATATATATACATACATACATACACACACACACACACACCCCAGTCTGTGTATATGTGTTTGTGTTTATGTGTGTATATATGTGTATGTGTAGTTTTGTGCATGTGTTGTAATGTAATTTTTCTTTTTCTTTTTTCTTTTTGCCTTTTAAAGTCTCTTCCACTCTGTTTTTCAGTGTTTTTATGAGTGATAGTCCCTCGTTGGCCTGATAGGTGTATTGTGTCCAAATTTGGTGTCAATTCATCCAGTGATTTTAGAGTTATGTTAATCTCACAAACTAACATTACACAGTATTGTCGAAGGCTTTCATGGCCGGAATCACTGAGTTGTTGTAGGTTTTTTCGGGCTGTATGGCCATGGTCTAGAGGCATTCTCTCCTGACGTTTCGCCTGCATCTATGGCAAGCACATATAAACCTTTTTCCTAGTTCCAACAGACCTCTGAGGATGGTTGCCATAGATGCAGGCGAAACGTCAGGAGAGAATGCCACTAGAACATGGCCATATAGCCCGGAAAAACCTACAACAATCCACATTACATTTTTATTTATATAGATGAGGATGTGTTTATATAGATGAGTATTTATATGGATGAGTGTGCCATAGATGCAGGCGAAATGTCAGGAGAGAATGCCACTAGAACATGGCCATATAGCCCGAAAAAACCTACAACAACCCACATTACATTTTTATTTATATAGATGAGGGTGTGTGTTTCGAGAGTCTCATGCAATGGATTGATTTATTCCTGTCGAAGGTGTCAAAGAACATTTTCTCTCTTCATTAAAGGCTCCCGCATTTGTACAACTCGGAGAATTCCTCTCAAGGAGTTGGGGCACCTCTTTGGAGATAGTCATTTGCCTCCAGACTTACACAAGCTTTTGTGAAACACACACAAAAGTATGGATCTTGTATTGTCGAAGGCTTTCATGGCCGGAATCACTGGGTTGTTGTAGGTTTTTCCGGGCTATATGGCCATGTTCTAGAGGCATTTTCTCCTTACGTTTCGCCTGCATCTATGGCAAGCATCCTCAGAGGTAGTGAGGTCTGTTGGAAGTAGAACATGGCCATATAGCCCGGAAAAACCTACAACAACCCAGTATGGATCTTCTTTGAAAGGGGAAAACGGGGATGTCGAAACTTTTTCTTCTTCGTATTGTCGAAGGCTTTCATGGCCGGGATCACTGGGTTGTTGTAGGTTTTTCCGGGCTATATGGCCATGTTCTGGAGGCAATTTTTCTCCTGACGTTTCACCTGCATCTATGGCAAGCATCCTCAGAGGTAGTGAGGAAGTAGGAAGTAGGAAAAATGGGTTTATATATCTGTGGAATGACCAGGGTGAGACAAAGGACTCTTGTCTGCTGGAGCTAGGTGTGAATGTTTCAACTGACCACCTTGATTAGCATTTGATTGCCTGGCAGTGCCTGGAGCAATCTTTTGTTGAGAGGTGATTAGATGTCCTTGTTTGTTTCCTCTCTGTTGTTGTGCTGTTCTAATTTTAGAGGTTTTTTTTAATACTGGTAGCCAGATTTTGTTCATTTTCATGGTTTCCTCCTTTCTGTTGAAATTGTCCACATGCTTGTGGATTTCAATGGCTTCTCTGTGTAGTCTGACATGGTGGTTGTGAGAGAGAGTCCAGCATTTCTGTGTTCTCAAATAAAATGCTGTGTCCAGGTTGGTTCAGCAGGTGCTCTGCTATGGCTGACTTCTGGTTGGAGTAGTCATAGAATCATAGAATCAAAGAGTTGGAAGAGACCTCATGGGCCATCCAGTCCAACCCCCTGCCAAGAAGCAGGAATATTACATTCAAATCACCCCTGACAGATGGCCATCCAGCTCTGTTTAAAAGCTTCCAAAGAAGGAGCCTCCACCACACTCCAGGGCAGAGAGTTCCACTGCTGAACGGCTCTCACAGTCAGGAAGTTCTTCCTCATGTTCAGATGGAATCTCCTCTCTTGTAGTCTGCAGTGCCTTTCATGTTCCTTGATTCGTGTTTGGGCAATGCTGCGTTTGGTGGTCCCTATGTAGACTTGTCCACAGCTGCATGGTACACAGTAGACTCCTGCAGAAGTGAGAGGATCCCTCTTTTCTTCTTCTTTTTTCCTTTTTTCCATCTTTTTAAATTCTTTTTTTCCTTTTTTTTCTTTTTTAAAAAAAATCTTTTCTGTTTTTCTTTGTTTCTTTTTTTTAAAAAAAAATCTTTTTTAATTTTTTAAAACTTCTTTCTTTTTTTCTTTGTTAATTTTTTAGTTTTTTTCTGTTTTTCTTTGTTTCTTTTTTAATTTTTTAAACTTTTTTCTTTTTTTAATTATTTTTAATTAATTTTTTTATTTTTTTCTTTGTTTCTATTTTTCTATTTTTTCTAATTTTTAATTTATTTCTTTTTTAATTTATTTCTTTTTTAATTTATTTCTTTTTTAATTTATTTCTTTTTTAATTTATTTCTTTTTTAATTTATTTCTTTTTTCTTTTTTCTTTTTTCTTTGTTTCTGTTTTTCTGTTTTTCTTTTTTTCTATTTTTTCTATTTTTTAATTTTTTTAATTTATTTCTTTTTTCCTTTTTTTCTATTTTTCTATTTTTTAATTAATTTAATTTAATTCTTTTTAATTTATTTCTTTTTTAATTTATTTATTTTTTATTTTTTTATTTTTTTATTTTTATCTTTGTTTCTTTGTTTCTTTTTTTCTATTTTTTCTATATTTTTTTCCTATTTTTTCTGTTTTTGTGTGTGTGCAGGGAAAACTTTCCGAACTTCGGTAAAAGTCAAGGCTTTTCTAACTCATTCCCCAGTTCCTTCCATCCTCCTGCTGCTCCTCTCTCCCTCCTTTTGCAAAATTATAGCCCTGTTTAGAAAGTTTTAAGACAACCGTCCATTTTATGAGGAATCTTTTATGAAGCCCTCCATTTAATTAATAAAAGGCCGCGATAACTTCTGCAAATGTCAGAGCTGGTAATTATGTTAAACAGCCGACAAGCTTCCCCTCCTCCGCTTTCTCCATCCCTCTCTCTCTCTCTGAATAGAGCAGGACTGCTTCTTTTCTCCCCTGGCTGCCCAATGCCTGGGCCCCCTTTCCCCCCTTTGCCCCCCTCCCTCTCTCCCTTTGGCCCCCAGAGCCAGCTGACCTCTGGTTGACTCCTGAACCGGACCAGGCGCGCTTTTGTTTCGCCCCCACGAAATCCCCTCCACTCGGCTCATCTTCCCTTCTTCCTCCCCAACTCACCTCCTTCGAGGACCACCTTCTCAGGTCCTGGCCTTTAATGGATCTTGAAATACCTTCAGGAGGTTCACGAAGGGTTTGAATCTCCCCCCCCCCCCCCCTTTTCTCTCCTATCACTTCCAACTCTTCTCTGCTGCGGCATTCCTTCATTATCTCCCCTCCGCCTTGCCAATCTGTTTTCTTCTATTTGTTTCCCTCTCCCCACGTATTCCCGTCTTCTGAAAGGGAGAACCTTTCCTTGGGAAGCTGCAAAGCAAAGATATGGGAGTTTGGACCCTTCTTTAGGGGGTACAAACCCTGTGCCGCTTACTCTAGAGTAATCCCATTGATTTGGGCCAGGTTTGCAACTGAGATGATAACACGCTGCATTAAAGTGACACTGAGCTTAGATCTATTGCATTCTATAGCTTGTATTCAAATGCAACTAGGGTTCTATAAACTGTATTAAAGAGCAATTAATACAATCTATTGGATTAAAATGCGACTGGGATTATACACGTTGCATTAAAGCGTAATTCGGATTACATTCTAGTTGCACTTTGATACAATGTATATAATCCTATTGTCGAAGGCTTTCATGGCTGGAATCACTAGGTTCTTGTAGGTTTTTTCGGGGTATATGGCCATGTTCTAGAGGCATTTCTCCTACGTTGCACTTTGATACAAGATGAGTCCACAGCAGACACTCTTTATTATTATTATTATTATTATTATTATTATTATTATTATTATTATTATTATTATTATTTAGGATGGACTGAAGTGAGAGCCTTTCCTAAGAAAGCTGCAAAGTAATGGGTATGTATCTCATAAATATGCATTTATTAAAAGTGATAGCCATTCCTTAGAAAGTTGCTAAGAAATACACATACACACATATATCAGCACTTTATATATATATATAACCCCCCCCCTTGCACTTTGATACAATATATAGAATCCTATTCTCATCATAAAAATAACTATTAGGATGAGACAGATTCCTACAATAATTAGGAATGGGATTAGATAATACTCCAAAGGAAGGCTGAACTCTGGGATTAATACAATATATAGAATCCTAGTTGCATTTTGATACAATATATATAATCCTAGTTGCACTGTGATACAATATATATAATCCTAGTTGCACTGTGATACAATATATATATTTATACAATCCTAGTTGCACTTTGATATAATATATATAATTCTAGTTGCACTTTGATACAATATATATATTGATACAATATATATATATATATATATATATATAATCCTAGTTGCCCTTTGATACAATATATATAATCCTAGTTGCACTTTGATACAATTTATATGATCCTAGTTGTATTAAAGTGCAACTGGGATTACATCTAATGTATTATACTGCAACTGGGGTTCTATATATATTGTATTGACAAGCAATTGGGACCTCACGACCTCTGAGGATGCTTGCCAGGAGAGAATGCTTATAGAACATGGCCATATAGCCCGAAAAAACTACAACCCAACTGGGATTATACATGTTGTATTAAAGTATAACTGGGATTATACTGTATATATTGTATTAAAGAGCACCCAGGGTTACACATGTTCCATTAAAGTGCAACTGGGGCTATATAGGCTGTATTAAATAACAATTGGGATTATATTATATTATATTATATTATATTATATTATATTATATTATATTATATTATATTATATTATATTATATTATATTATATTATATTATATTATATTATATTATATTGCAAGGTATTATATTATATTAAAATGCGACTGGGATTACATATATTGTATCAACATTCAACTGGGATTATATATATTGCATTAAAGTGTCATAGGGATGACATAGATTGTATTAAAGTGCAACTGGGATTACATATAATGTATTAAAGTGCAACTGAAGAGTAACCGTGGACCTGTTGCATTAAACTGCAACTGGGATTATATGTGTTGTATTGAGGAGCAACTGGGATTATATTGCATTGAACAGCAACTGGAATTATACATGTTATATTAAAGTATAACTGGTATTATATATGTGTGTGTGTATGTGTATAATATTAAATTAATTAATATTAATTAATTAATATTAAAGTCCAACTGAGGTTATGTTGCACTTTGTTAAGGTGCAACTGAAGGGCAACTGTATTAAGGTGCAACTGAAGGGCAACTGAGGTTATATATGTTGCATTAAAGTGCAATTGGGTTTATATATTTTGTATTGAAGAGCAATGATATATTGTATTGAAGTGCAGGTGGGATTACATATAATGTATTAAAATCCAACTGGGGTTAAATAAATAAATTAGAGAGAGAGAGATTGTATTGAAGAGCAACTAGGATTAAACATATTGTATTAAAGGATAACTTGGATTACATATACTGTATTTAAATCCAACTGGGGTTATATAGGTTGTATTGAAGTGCAACTGAAGAGCAACCAGGGTTATACATGTTGTCTTAAAGTGCAATTGGGATTGTATTGAAAAGCAACTAGGATTATATATTGTATTAAACTGCAACTGGGATTATATATATTGTATCAAAATTCAACTGGGATTATACATATTGCATTAAAGTGCAACTAGAATTATATATTGTATCAAAGTGCAACTGGGATTATATATATTGGATCAAAGTGTAACTAGGATTATATATATTGTATCAAAGTGCAACTGGGATTATATATATATATATATATATATATATATATATATATATATATTGTATCAAAGTGCAACTAGGATTATATATTTTGTATTAAAGTGCAACTAGGATTATATATATTGTATTAAAGTGCAACCGGGGTTATATATATATAAAGTGCTGATATATGTGTGTATGTGTATTACTTAGCAACTTTCTAAGGAATGGCTATCACTTTTAATAAATGCATATGTTGCATTCAAGCCCTGAGATACATACCCATTACTTTGCAGCTTTCTCAGGAAAGGCTCTCACTTCAGTCCATCCTAATAATAATAATAATAACAATAATAATAATAATAAACACAACAAGTGGACTCATCTTGTTGTGTTTCTAATAATAGTAATTATTATTATTACTATTGAAGAGCAACTTGGATTATATATTGTATTAAACTGCAACTGGGATTACATATATTGTATCAAAGTTCAACTGGGATTATATATATTGTATCAAAGTGCAACTAGATATAGATAGTATCAATATAATCCTAGTTGCTCTTCAATACAATCCCATTTGCATTTTGTGTTTCTAATAATAATAATAATAATAATAATAATAATAATAATAATAATAATAATAGAATGTCTGCTGTGGACTCATCCTGTTGTGTTTCAAATAATAATAATAATAATAATAATAATAATAATAATAATAATGAGTGTCTGCTGTGGACTCATCTTGTTGTGTTTCAAATAATAATAATAATAATAATAATAATAATAATAATAATAATAATAATAATAATAATTGCATCCTGGTTGCTTCCTCTGGAATAATCCTTGGGGGTGGGGGGACCCCTTGGGACTCTTTCAGAGCCTGCAACAAAGGGCTGGTGTCCCCAAACGAGGGACACAACGTGAAACCACGTCAAGATGCGAGCAGCAATCCGAAAAACACTTTATTTGGGAACGAGGCCCTGGAAAACCCCGGGGATTGGCACTCAACAGGGGTAAAGTTTCTTGAAAATGCACATTATTCGTAGCCTGTTCTGGCCCTGAAGCCTCTGGCACCCCAAATTGGGCAGACGTCGCTTGACGTTCACAAGAGTCAAAGACCCAACAGTAGGCTGTAATGAAAAGGAAAGTCTTATCCGAAATGAGCCTTGTGCAAACAAGTTGTCCGGCCGCCGTAATGGGTCTGTAAACGCCTCCAGGGCCTGGGACGGAGGCTTTGGGGCGACCCACTAAGCGACAGGAGGGGACCCCTATCCCACCCCGGATTGTCTTACCTGAGAAGCCACGTCGCGGGTGGAACTCCTCCGCCAGAAAGAAGTCGGGCAGGGTTTTCGCCCAGAAGTGGCTCGGTTTTCCTAGAGAGCAGGAGGGGGGCTTCTCTCTCACGATTTCTCCTTCACTTTTGCAGGCTCTGGAGCTCCGAGTGAGACCGCTTTCTGCCCTAGACCTCCCATCCCAGGTCTGCTTTCGCCCCCTTTCCAAAATGACCCACTCAAAGGGAAGCCAAGGGAGAGCCCTGTGGGAAAGAAGCCCTTCCCAGCCACCCTCCCCGTCCTTGGCTTGATGGCTGATGCCGGAGCCTGTTGCTGCATTTCTGTCTCTATAGGCATTTTTTGACCTGGTCCAAAGCTTATGGTTGACTTATATTGAGGCATATAATGACTTATAATGCAGTGCGGAATGCATCATATATGGCCATATAGTGCAGCTCAGTGCATTTCAAACTCTACACTGACCATATAATGATGTGGTCTACACTGGCTTTTATAATTATATAATAATAATAATAATAATAATAATAATAATAATAATAATAATAATAATAATAATAATAATAATGTATAATATATATATAAATGCTCTGTGCATAATGAGTTCCTTAAAAACAAAAGAACCAATGAATGAAATCACACCAAATTGGCAACAAAACGTCTCACAACACAAGGAGTGACCATCACTCAAAAAATGATTTTGTCATTTGGGAGTTGTAGTTGCTGGGATTTATAGTTCACCTACAATCAAAGAGCATTCTGAACTCCACCAATGATGGAATTGAACCAAACTTGGCACACAGGACTCCCATGACCAACAGAAAATACTGGAAGGGTTTGGTGGGCATTGGCCTTGAGTTTGGGAGTTGTAGTTCACCTACATCCAGAGAGCACTGTGGACTCAACAATGATGGATCTGGACCAAACTTGGCACAAATACTCAAAATGCCCAAATATGAACACAGATGGAATTTGGGGGAAATAGACCTTGGCATTTGGGAGTTGTCGTTACTGGGATTTATAGTTCACCTACAATCAAAGAGCATTCTGAACCCCACCAAGATGGAATTGAACCAAACTTGGCACACAGAACTCCCATGACCAACAGAAATACTGGAAGGGTTTGGGGGACATTGACCTTGAGTTTTGGAGTTG